AATAAATAAATAAATAAATAAATAAATAAATAAATAAATAAATAAACAAATGGCTTGTTCTGTGGCAGTACAACTTAGCCCAACAGAAACAGGAAAACTTGCCAAGCACAACAGAGGCAGAAAAACTAGCAGAGGCGCTACAGAGTAACCCTGGGCCTGACTCACGTTGCCTGCCTTAATGGTAGGTCTACTGTCCATAAATGATCCAAATTCTTGGGCCAGCCAGATAGCTCAGTAGATTAAAGTGCCTGCTTAGGCAGACGTTGGGACAGGAGTTTGATCCCCCGGGCATGCTGAGAAGAAGACTGAGACTGGGAGTGGTGGCTAGTACCATTTGGGAGGCTGAAAACAGGAAAATCACTACTGAGTCTCATCTGCAGTGAGACCTGGAGACCCTGTACTAAATATATTAAAAGAAAAAAAAAAAGAAAAAAGAAAGAAAGAAAAGAAAAGAAAAACAAATTCTTGGAATCATTGTCAAGTGCTCTGTAGGTCCTCCTTGGATTACCTGTACCTCAAGTTTTCAAATTCTGAACACCAAGGCCAGGGAAATGGCTCAGTGGAATAAGCGCTTCCCTGGCAAGCACAAGGGCCTGAGTTCAATCTCCAGTTCCACAAAAAAATAAAATAAAATAAAATAAATCTGAAATCCAGAGGATATACGCAGAAATAGTGACGGCATAGTTGGAGCCAATCTACTGAAAGTGGAGCAGGATGGTAAAGCTGGCTGGTAAGAGATCTAAGAAGCTGTTTTCTTCATGTAATAGATTTCCTTACTATGAGCCCCAAACCCAAAGTTTATGCTGCTTACTCAAGAGAATCAACGCCACCAGCCAGCATGTGCAGGTGGTTCAGTGTTGTGATGGAGGTAGTCAAGTGGCGTTTGGCATGATCGAGCTGCTTAATGTCACGGGTGATTTCCTTAACCTAAATATTAAAAACAACAGGAGAAAAAAGGGGAAGGATAAGAATGATACAGATCTTTCTGCAAGTAGTTCCACATGAAAATAATTACATGAAGCAAGAAGAAAGCCTCAGTTTAACCCTTGGAAAAAACACAAACATTCTCACAATGCAAAATCAAGATAATTCCCATCAACCCCTTTATGTTTCATTTCACCATTTCTTCAGACTTTATCTAAGGTTATAAAATTCTCAAGTGTGAGAAACAAATTATTATTTTTCACTCTCTATGGAATGATCCAAATAGCAACACAGTAGTGAATTAGGCCCTCTTGAATAAGGTCCAAAAAAGTGTACCCTTTCTACAGGATTCAGCACAAAATGGATATTAGTCAGCTAATTGTATTGAGATGGGTCTTTGGGGTTTATGGCCCATCTACCAGCCAACAAAAATCTTACCTCAAATCTCAAGAAGGGCCACCCAGATAGCTCAGTGGGCTAAAGCCCCTGCTTGGGCAGAGTGCAGCAGCCAGGGTTCAATCCCTGACAAGCACCCACGGGGTATGCTGAGATGCTGATCGAGACTGGGTGTGGTAATGCGCACCTGTAATCCCAGCACTTGGGAGACTGAAAACAGGAGAATCATTATGAATCTGATCTCTGTAGTGAAACCCTGTAGACCCTATATTAAATACACTTAAAAAAAAAACCTCTCAAGAAAACCAAAATGTAAGCCCTATAACATAAACTTAGCATACAACATCGTAAGAGGAAAGGTGCAACTTTCTTGGAGTGAGAAGGTAAGGTGGGGAGTAAAAGTCTGACAGTCTTGCTCCAAGAGGCCCAAGAAAACAAAAGTCCATCTGGAAACTTTTGATATTTCAATCACTGGAAAAGCAGATTCAGTAGAAAAGATGGAAAAGCCCTGAACTTTACTGATACTCTTTAGGTGAACTCTCCTACTATCCTGAGTCTATGAGGATCATGGAACTCTAATAGAAGTTTGGTTTCCCATGCTCTATGACAACTTGAAGAAAGGGCCCTGACACTAGGCCTAAATATTCCAGTCACTATCCATGCAGTTACCCTTAAACTGCAAAATCTAATAAGGAGTTAGTCAATGTGACCTGATTTTTCAGAGTTTGATAAACATTTCCTGATAAAATAAGGACTACGACTAGCACAACTCCATTCTATGCCCACAAATCAGTAAGCTTGTCCTGGATTTCTGCAGTAAAAATTTTCTTTCTCAGGGAATGCACCATCAAGTCTACCTCACTTGTAACCCTCAGGCTATCTAACTACTTTTATTTTCATTACAAAAAGCAAAAGGTTAAGAATCTACTACTACTTTACTAAATAATTGAGCCTGGAGTTTAAAAAAAAAAAAAAGATCAGGAGTAGCATAAAAGACTAGAAATAGAAATTTGGTTCCATAATCTGACCACCCACTCTAACAATTATATCCTCATCCTATTTCCTAATAGGAAAAATCCCACTGCCTCCTGGTTCAACAGCTTCAGTTCTAACATTATAGCATTTGCCATGGGGTTTAAAGTCACAGTCATCTACACTTCTTCTCGTTCATCAGCCACATTTTTTTTTTTTTTTTAATGTGTTTGGTTGTTACAGGGTTTCACCACACAGCTTGGACTCATGGCAATCCTCCTGCTTTCAGCTTTCCCAGCGCTAGGATTACAGACATGTGCTACCATGCCCAGACTGGCCAACTCAGCCCAACCTGGGGGCGGGGCTGGCGTGGCATGTGGTGCCAGGGATCAAACCCAGGTCTCCATGCTTTGGCTAAGCTTGCCTAAGCAGGTGCTTTAGTCCACTGAGCTATCTTGCCAGCCCCATCAGCCAAATCTTGAATACTCCTCTGCTTGATCTCAAGATCTTGTCCCTCCACTCTATCGCTCCAAATACCCTCACTACTCTGCACTGGATCACTGGCCTTTTCATTCCCAGATCTCCCATTATTTTCACCACATATCCTATGCTACTCTAGACAAATCAAACTACTTGCTATGCCTCCAAAAAACTTTTAATGACAGAGCATATAAGAGGTGCTATATTCTCCAAGAGCAGATTATTTTATACAACAGATTACTCATAATTAATTTGCTTTATTATACTTGGACATAAAAAAAAAAAAGAAAAAAATGACAAATGACAGAAGGTGATATGGTGGGTTTGGTTGGAGCCAGCCAGATCTCAGGCTGAATTCCAATTCTACCAATTACCAACTCTGTGTCATAGGCTAAGTTTCTTGGCCTTACCAACTTTCAGTTTCCTCATCTATAAAATAGATAATCAGGTTGGGGAGGTAGCTCAGTGTTCTAAGCATCTGCCTGGCAAGCACAAGGACCCATGTTCAATCCCCAGTACCACATGCTGTGCCAGCCCCAAAACCCAGGGTGCATAGAACCAGCCCAAAACCAGGCGTGTTGGTGCACGCCTGTAATCCCAGTGTGAAGGAGGTGAGACAGGAGGATCACTGAGAGTCTGAACTGCATAGTGAGACCCTGTATCCAATAAATAAATAAGAAAAAAAACAATTTTTTAAATAAAATAGATAATCATAAAAATAATGATACTAAAACTTAGTCCACAGAGTCATCAGGAGGAGGAAAGATTTAGCACCATGATTGGCCCACTAAAAAAGCTTAATGAACACCAGATCTCACTTCACTGCTTCCTCTCTCCTCTAACATAACACTGTCTAAAAGAAAATTTTTTTTAAATAGGTTAACTAATAACTCTAGAAGCAGCTTCTTAGAACTGTCATTGCATTCCCCATACCCAGCATGGAGAGGGAACACAGTCCAGAGCAGCAGTTTAAAATTGTAAAGTTAATGATGAATAAAAAACCTGAATACAATAAACTCCAGCAAAAGTTACATTGGATAGAATCACTTGATAATCACTCACCATCTGTTCCTGGCTGGTGCTGAATGCAGGGCATCCTTGGGGAATAACTATAAATCTAAATCCCTAGTACCCTGCTCATTACTCCTTATACATTTAATTCTCACAACAACCCTGTGAGGTAGATACTAACATTCTTATTTTATAGTTGATGAAACTGGAAGCATTACATTACCCAGAATTCCAGCTTAGGAGTTTGCACATCCCAGAGCCTCCCATGAAGTAGGAGTAGTGAATACTGGATTCCTGGTCAGCAGGGTGGCCTACTGAGAACATCCCCAGGGGCCACAAATTTGTACAGTGAAAACTTAATCAAAACCATATGCATGTATTGTAGTCAGGGTAGATCCTACGATCCAGACCCAAGGCCTATTTCAGTGTACTACCAAATTACATGTCTAGTATCTTAATTAAGAAATACGTGATATAAACAAATGCTAAAGGCAGGCATCCAAAATGACTAGGAAAGTATTTTGGGGGGAAAAAGAAAAAGAAAACTTTTCCTATTTAAAAACAGGGCTGCAAATATAGGACAGTAGGGATGGTGAGTCACCCTTGTCTAGCAGCTTCCCATGAATCAATCTGGAAAACACTTGCAGAGGCTTGCCTGAGAGATACGGATGGCTGTGGTTGGCAGGAAGTGGGAGGAAAAAGTCCATTAATTACAATGACTGGAGGAGAGGCTGACTTCCTTTTTTGGTACAAAAAAATGAGAAAGAAACCTAAGCTCACCATTTGCTCTGATTTTTCTGCTTTGTCTTTGATATCTTTGATTTTGCCAAAGAGTTGCTGGATAGCTTTCTGGGCCTCTTCAAGCGCCTAGAGTTAGAGAAATACATGAAAAACAAGAAGTCATGCAAGACAGCACCAATCACTACATTATAATAAATTTCAGCTTCATAAGATAATCATCATGAAACTTTGATTCATTACACTTAAACTGACAATTTTATTTACCAAACTGGTAGAGAAATAGAACCCACCATTCAGATACAGGGAAATAGTATGCTTGCCAATCTATACCATAAAGTTAACTGAAAAACTAAACTATTTCCTTCTGTCTTGATGATCACCGTAAGTATTATTGTTGACAATAAACAGAACACGCACACCTGGGTGTATGGGTGCATGCACATGTACATGTGTACATACACAATAACCTTCCAAATCTGTAAAGAGACAGAGGTATTCTAAGTTAGTTGTAGTTTGGGAAGCTCTGGATTTAGAATTTCCAAAAGACTGTCAAAAAACAACCCTCTCCCCCCAAAAAAGCAAGACTGTGTTTAAAGACTCCAAAATTGTGGCAATTCTTAATGATATTAATAGTGTCCTACTTGAAAACCAATGAAATTAAATCACAAAGTTATACTTGAAGCTACCTGTGAGCCAAATGTTTCTATGGAAATAAAAACCTACTAAGATGGATAGCTTGCATTAAAAGTAGTAGTTGTTGTTGCTTAATGTATTTGGTATAGGGTCTCACTCTGCAGCTCTGACTCATAGTAATCCTACTGTTTTCAGCCTCCCCAGTGCTGATATTAGAGGTGTGTGTCACCACACCTGGACTTGGTGGCAGGCTCAGCACACCCGGGGGTGGGGCCAGTTTGGCAAGTGGTGCCGGGTATTGAACCACAGTCCCTGCACTTACCTAAGGAGGTGCTTAGTCTGCTGAGCTATCTCACTGGCCCTAGCATTAAAAGTATTACAACCTACAGTATCTTCTGTGAGGAGACACAGTAATAGGAGGGGAATTTGAAGGATACTAAAGCTACACATGTGCAAAACACATGTACTTTATGGTCCTGTGACAAAAAATGACCTACAGCTGAACCAGTGCTCTTGATTCCTGGGCAGTTAGAGTGCCAGTTACACTAGTCAACATTTCATTTACTCCACCCATTCACTCATCCAACAAGCACATACTAAATACATCCAATACACTAAGGGGAGAAGAGGGTCAGGGATGAGCTTTTGGGTGTTCAGCATTCAGAAATCTAAAAAGGAGAAAGCAAAAACGCAAGAGAAAAACCACTGGCCACATGAGAGAAAACCAAAGATTCCACAGACTATGATGTTACCGAAGACAAACAAAGTGTTTAAATGAGGATAAGAATGATCATGTTTCACACTGAATGGTTCATAGAAGTCAGAGAATTGCCAGTGATTACAGGGAAGTTGTTCATGATCTTGACAAGAGCAGTTTCAGTGGTGTTGGAGGAATGAAAGTAGACAGCAATGACAGGATGAAGTGAATAGAAAGAAGGGGAAAGCAAATGGCATCCAGTGGGCGAATTCCAACCTGCTACCTGTTTGTATAAATTAATTGAGTTTTGTTTTTTTGAAGGATATCATAGCCTAACTCATTTATTAAGGTATATCTATGGCTACTTTCCCATAAAATGACAGTGAGGCCTGTTTGCAATTCATACTATTAGGCCCATTAAGATTAAAATATTTTGGGCTGGGGAGATAGCTTGGTGGTCTAAGCACCTGCCTGGCAAGTGCAAGGTTTGATCCCCAGTACCACATGCCATGCCAGCACCAGAACCAGGGCATGTTGAGCCAGCCACGGAAACCAGGCGTGATGGTACACACCTGTAATCTCAGTGCTGGAAAGGCTGAGACAGGAGGATCAGACTACTAGTCTGAGCTGCACAGCGAGACCTTGTACCAAAATAAATAAATAAATAAATAAATAAATTTTATTTTATTTTTTTAGGGGTCTATAGGATGTTCAGGTTCTCACTACTAGATTGGACTCATAGTGATCCTCCTGTTTACGGCCTCCCAAGTGCTGGGATTACAGTCTCAATTGCGTCTCAGCATACCCCAGGGGTGGGGCCGGCATAGCAGGCCCAGGGATTGGAACCCCGGCCCCTGTACCTGCTTGCAGGCACTTTAACCACTAAGCTATTTGGCCAGCCCTAATAAATAAAATTTAAAAGACTAAAATATTTACTATAGGACTTCCATATTGAATATTTTTTCAGTAAGTTTTTGCTTTGAGAAGACAAGAAAATTGGGCAAAAGATGAAGTAAAGAGAAGACTTTTCAAAGACAAGAGATGTTGAGTCGGGGAGATAGCTCAGCAGATTAAATGCCTACTTAGGCCAAGTGCAGGGACTGGGGTTCGATTCCCAGCACCACATGCTGTGCCAGTCCCAGCCCCCGGCACAGCACTGGGGAGGCTTAAAACAGGAGGATCACTATGAGTCTGAGTTGCATAGTGAGACCCTGTACCAAATGCATAAAACAAAAAAGATGAGAGATGCTTGCTTATGTCTTTTATTCACCAGTAGAGGAGGAAAAACTGTAGGGAGAGGATATAATGGAATACTTAGACAAAAGAACTTCTGAAAATAAGGTTTTTTGCATTGCTAATATGTAAGTATTTGCTGTAGAGCAAGGACGCAAATGGCTTTCTCACATGCATCACAGTGAAGGCACCATTCACTCTGGTATAGCCTGGACAGTCCTAGTGTCTGCTGTCTCAGTATAATTATTAATAGCTCTCTCTTGTGAAATTACTCTGGTCGTAAATTATATGGTCACCTTACTTACAGCATATACACGAAGCCAGATCACACTAGAATATAATTCTTTGTTGACTGTTTAAAAATATCTCAGGGCACATAAGTGAAGTGCTGAAACTACTGCTGTAATTGAGGTATGCTGACCCCACTGACCCCATCACGCCCCAGCCCCCAATTCTCAATCCTTCTTCTTCAGCCTGCCTAATGCTGCGATTCCAGTCATGTATCACCCACCCAGCCTACCTACTTGGCTAGTATGGAGTCTAATGACCAAGACGCTGCAATTTGAAACTAATCTGAGGATTCTGAAAGCTGGTGGGTCATAGTATGAAAAAGTACCACAGAAGTCTTGTAAGCAACTGACCTCTAGAAAGTACCAACCTTCTTAAGCATGACTTTCACAGCATGGGATTCTGTGATGGTGCAGGTCATGCTGTGTTATATAATACTGGGATTATAACCAACACCCTAAATATACCACACTCAGAGAGGAAAGCAGAAAGGACCAAGTTCTATGCTTAGATCTAAGTGTGAAGAAGTGTGTGTAATTCTTTCTTAGAGAAAAGATTCCTACCCCTAGTCCTCTCTTATTCTCAGTCTGGCCTCCCACCTGAACTGTTTAAGACTCACCCAATCTTGCATTTCATAGATTTTAAGAAAGATAAATGGTCTGCCACACTTTTTTTCAGACTGGAATACTTTTGCTTGTTATAACAGTGTACTATGTTGGCGAAATTTAATATAATTCATTTTCCAAAGTCAAGAGATTCCTGTGAAATATCCACTCTATCAAAAAGTTTATTCTTAAAACATACTCTAATATTTGATATCTAACCTATAATAATCAATAACACAGACAGAAGAGCATTTTGTAATTGGAAGAACCATAAGACATATAAAAGAATAAGAATTTTTTTAAAAGATACTACAATACTACTCGATTAACCAGAAAATGTAAGGGAAGATTATTCTGACACAGTCCTTAGACACTCCCCAAAAAATGTGGCTACTTTTCTATTCCAAGTTGGATATGGATTAAAAACAGAACTAATCGCCCCAAAATGTCTGCAATCAATCTGCCCCGTTTTCCCTCTTCCTGGAGCACTGGCCAAAGCCTGCCTTTGAGGATGTTACTAGGGTAGCAGTTAGCTGTAGTACTCTTCAGTAATTCCAGTCTGTAATCAGGAAATGCAAAGCATTTCCACTAACTTAACCCCCAAGATTAAGCAAAATCAATCACAACATCCACATATTTCTGTGCATAATTAAATATAACTGTGATTCTTAATTTCCCTTGCTGCCTGAAGAAGATTCTGAACAAGCTCTCTGAGTCACACTAGGTCATGTTCATAGATGATAAGCAGTACTGGATCTGGCACAGACTGCATTGCTTTCTTCTTTCCCTTGATTCCCTGCCCTGCCCCCCACCAGATCTGTTGTCTGCCACCGGTGTAGACAGAGGGCCTGTGATCCAATGAAAATGCTTCAAGAAATAAAAATCCCCCTTGGCCCTAAAGAAGCATCTATTTTGTACTTCAGTCTGTCAGAGAATTATACTGCCTTTATTCTGTACACCCACAATCTTTCAGAGATTTAAACAGAGATCTAATTAGCTGTGGCTACAGGAAGGAGGAAAGATTGTTCATTTTCAGAACTAGTATGACTTTTAAATTGTTCTTTGAAAAAACAATGTGGTAGGACTCAAAGTTACTAGGAAAAATTAGATTCTTTCCACCACTCTGCTGTAATTTCTATTTTCCACTTCTGCATCTATTTGCTGATTTCCCTAACATTACACTGGTTAAAAGCAAGAGTTTTTGAGCCAGCAGACCAGGATGGCTGGTTCTGCCATTTAACTCTGATCTCTATAAGTCACTTCACCTTTAGGAGGGTAGTTTCATAATTCCTGAAATAACATCATCGCAAAAAGCCTTTCTGTTAGAAAGGATCACAGAGTTAGGTATTGATGATCTTTAGAATTACTGACCTAGTATTCTTTTCCTTCAAATTTTATCACATTCTTATAAAGTCTATTAGCCAAGGGGCACACCAGACCAAAGTTAGGCCAATGAAAGTTTTCCTGTTTGTTTGTTTTTCCAGAACTAAAATTGGGAAAGAGAGTTAAACCTTTTGGTGCTGGGAACCCTAACATACAAGACTGAGTTAAAGAGCAACAAATATCCCCCAAAAGGGAAAGATGTTAATCGGCTTAGAGAGATGAGGCCAACATGAAGAGAGACACAGAACCACACAAAGTACTATTCCAGTCCTGAGCTTCAGCTGTCT